TGCATGAGCTTCATTAGTATGCTGTGGCATCTTGATTCCTCATCTTCACTATCTAATTAAGTGTGAAACCTCTCATCAGTTAACTTTTTCGTTTACAAACTTCCATGTAAATAATCCTGTTACAATTCCAGTAGAATAGCATTGTTCGCTTTTTAATTAAAAAATTGTTATTAATGTCTGTGAAGATTCTCAGTCATCCACGTGAAGTTATCTGGAAGTTCAGTCACGGCAACTGGACTTATTTCTTATTAAGTTGAAACATTTCACTACTCATCCAGGTAGCTTCTTCAGTCTGAATTGAGTTGGTTGGAGACCACTGATATCCATGTTAGTTTCACTACCCCTTGGTCTGAATGGGCTGATGAGATGGACAATGGACAGAGGGGTGAGTGAAAATTCCACTTCTGCAGTCCTTCTTCACCCATTGTCATAGATTGGTAACAGTTGTTAACAGTCTTTCTGGTGTGTGTGGTCCTGATCTTTCTGGGGACATGAAAGGGCAGCATGATACATAGGAGACAGATTGTATCTAAGGCCTCCACCCATGTTGAGTTAGAAATTTTCTGTATGCACATGTATGCTCTCCCTGACCCCTCTCGCAAACTACCTATATTCTCGGTCCAAAATTACATCTTGGTCATCAAATGTGTGTCCTTTGATATAATCTGTCTGGTTTGAGAGAGGGGTCTGGGAGGCCATACATGTGCATATGGAAAATCCCTGACTCAACAGAGGTGGAGGCTTTAGATACAATCTTTCTCCTATTTATCATGCTACCCTTTCATCCCTCTCCAGAAAGGTCTGGACACCAGAAAGACCACTGTTAACGATGTATGATAATGGGTGGAGAAAGACTGCAGAAGTGGAATATTCACTCACTCCCAGTCCTTTGTCCATCTAAGGAGCCTATTCAGACCAGGGAGAAGTGAAACCAAGGTGAAGGATATATCAGGGGTCTCCTACCAATTCTCCTCAGACTGAAGAAGCTACTTGGATGAGTAGCGAAACATTTCAGCCTAATAAGAAAAAAGTTCAATTGCCATGACTCAACTTCCAATTTGTTCTTTATGCTTTTGCATTGTTGTTGTTTTGAATTAACTATATTGTATATCCAGAGTTGCCTGAAATTAAGTAAATGAAATGCTGTTTCTAAAGCTAAAAGTGTGTGAACTTACAAGAACTGTTTTTACCATTTATCAATGGGTTGCTTCATTTGAATACATGTCTATCTCTTTTGATCAACCTGAAAAATTTGCATGCTGTGCAGCAGCCATATTCTATACTTTATTAAATATCTGTCAATTATAAATATCAAGATTTTACATTAATGTCAAGATAGTACATCAAAAATTCATGGAATATGTGACTTTTTCCAAGGGTATTTAATACTTAATGCATTTGTGTCATTTTTCTTTCTAGATATATTGACAGGTTTTATTAAGTGTTTGTTAGGGAGATTTCATTTTTACCGAGGGACTGTAAAGAGAAGGCTGCATGCTAAATCAATTTTTTAATCAGAGTATTCTTCTCTTGGTCACTTCAGCTGAGATATGCTAACGTATGTTAAAGCACTGGAAAGCATTCTCAGAAATGCAGCAATTAATTTCCTTATAACATTATTCTTTAATGTATATCTTTTGCTGTGAGACAGTATCATTTAGTATTGCAATTCAGTAGCATTTCCTATGCTGTGTCTATTAAGGAGGAAAGCTTTATTTTTCAAACTGTATAAACAAGGTATTATAATGAAGTTTCCCATACAGACTGTTGTCTTGAAAGGTACCATAGTACTGTGCTGTTTTATTTTCCCCGACTTTCAAAAGTTGCAATTTAATTATGAACATTGTGTTAGTATTTGAATGAGTTCATTAGACGTGGGGATGCGATTTTGGCATCAGTGACACAAAACTGCAGTACAGATGTGCATTTTATAATACTAAGACTGAAAACTCCTAAATGTTGTCCTGTTTGGAAGTATATTCCAGAAAAATATTCATGTAAAAAACCCACACACAGATTGTATAAAACAACAAAAGCAAGTAGGCATTGTGTTCTGATATAACTTTTTTTCCATGGGTGGTGTTTCAGTATTATTGAAAAATTTTACTTAAGTGGTTGGGAGACTGTCAGAATTAAGGAAATGAGAAAATAATGAAAAAAATAAAGCAATCAGGCAAGTGCAGGTGCAATCTTCACACATGGATCATGTATCTAAAGCAGGGATGTAAGTGTGTATTTACATATTTGTCAGGACTTCTGTTCACCAAATTATAGCCTGGACCCCAACTCTAACAGAAATGTACCTCCACTTTTCCTGAGCTGTCTGGTGAGAATGTATTTCATTTCTCTTCCATTTATGAAATAAGGTGTAGAGGGTGTGACACCAAGCCTTTTCCTATTTAAGAAATAGTCTCCCCATAGAAATAATTTCTTTCTTTTGTTGGATTAAACACTGACCTGCTGCCTTGAAGCGTTTGTATTTTACTTGAAACAACTGTATTTTTCTTGATTTAAAATTTTATTTTCATTCTAATTTTTTTTTTACAAACTATAATAATGAGAATCTTTAATTTCTATAAACTCATCATGGGTTAATTTAGTTTGTTTCTGTTTCAAGTTGGACACGTCCTATATAAGCTTGGCTGTGAAAAATTATAGATTCTTGTGGCCTCTCATCTCTGGAAATATTTGTAGTGAAATAATCTGAATAATATTCTTAATTGATTTTAAGTTCCATTTTTAAGACATATGTTCCAAGGTGTCTTCTGTCTTAAAATTGTATTCTACTCTTCAGCCAGTAGGTGGAATCAGAGCCTTTCTATAGCCACGTTTGCCTCAAAGAAATCCTAATGTTAACTTGTCAATGGGAAGAGTCTTTTCCTTCCTTGAATGTTAGACCAAAAATGCAGTAATGGGGGTTGCTGTTGGTTTTGTAATATATGTAGGACTCTTTCTTTTCTTTTCTTTTTTTAGTGCTCATTCATACCAAGCACAAGTTGTTGTTTTTTCATAGTTTAATGTCAAATAGTTACCTGTGAACTTCTTTAGTTAGATTGGATTTGTTTGTGTTTGTGCATGTGCATGCAGTTTCACATATAATGTGAATTGCAAAATATTTCTCTTAATATGGGACTTATATACATTATATTGAGAAATATATAGTGATATTAAGGAGATAGTCTTCAAGAATGAAAGGCAAACTATTATTGAGAGATAACATTTGTCAAAAAATATATTGAGCTCAAGTTATTGAAAATGCTTAATCAAAATTAAGAACTTTGAAATGTAATTTTGCATGTAAACTGAATTGCTTGTTTGTTGAGGGTGCCACGGTTTTTAGAACTAGTCCATCAAAGACCTAATTTAAGGGGTTGGAGAAAGCAGACACCTGGGACATAACACCCAATTGGCAGCCTTTTGTAATATATAATTTGCCTAAAATTGTGCACTGAGCACAAGCTTTTGTTTTCTAATTGATTTACGGTTTGAGCCATTTTACCTCATCCCCTACTGTCCTGCACACAGTGCCAGCAAGTACATTACTGTGAGAGATGATAAATTACCATGCACTTGTGATGCTAATGCATCAAGAGTATTTTTTTAAAAACCATGCTACATAGAGCTCCTTGCTTTAACAACATTACAAAGATACATCCAAGCAAAACTCATTTGTATCAGTAGAAACAACCATTCATTTGATCACTTACTGAAACCTGCCTATTCAACTGTAATTGAAATGGAATATTAAAATGATACTGTTAATGGCTCTCCATCTCTTAAGAGGGGAAAAGTTTTAAAGCGTTTTTATAAGTCTCTAATTCATTTTAGGTCTTGTATTGCAATGTATATAAGAAAAAATGGCCAGGAAGTACTTTAATGTTCAAAGGGACAGATATGAAAAGCAGGTTATGTGTAATTAAATCTTTTAAATTTTTCCCTCATAATCATTAAGGTCTTTGCCCACCCCCTTTCAAATGTCTAATCTGACCAGTGGAAGGGGGGAATCAAATGGCAGTACGTGGGCTGTAATAGTTTCAGCATTTTATCTATTATATCTCTGTGTGATCTTTGTATTTTTAGAAACTTATTTGGTATAAGGGAAGACAGGGATACTTTGAATATATGTATCCGCTGCTACCACAAGTAGGATTAAGATACAGAATTAAAATCCTGCATAGTTTCCTTTTTCAGCCAAGTTTTTTTCTGTATAGCACTGAGATGGAAGTCCACCTTAAATTTTTGTATGTGTTGTCTGTGGGTTCCACTCTTTGAAATATGAAGAAACAGATTTATGGCGGCTGCTGGGCACAACAAATTAAGTTGACAGTGATGTATGAGAGCATAATAGCATGATGATCCTCTGTAGCTCGGCTGGACGCCTCCTGCTTCATTTGGCTCTTGTTAGGATCTGTTAGGCAGCTAAATAATGAAATTCTGCTGACTGATTTCTTCTTGGTTTTTTTTTCCTTTTCACCTCTTCTCTAAATCCTCTATTTCTCAGACCCATCCTAATGCCAGCAAACTGCCATTAAAGGATTCTTTCACTTACGATGATTACAGGTTTGTTTCCCTTTTTATATAAAAACTAGCTAGTTAGGCCTTCAAATGCCTCCCAAGAAAATAATCGCATTGTTAATCATAGATCCCTAGTCTAGTCATAGCACTTACAGATAAAAATTATTACAGATATAATAATTTTAGTTACTTACATTTTAACCTCAAAAGATGTTAGCTGTCCAGTCAGCATTAGTTGCTTCTAAATCGTAGGTTGTCCTTTCAAAACACTCTTGTTTAATTGATTTTATATCTGCTTGTCTTATAGTTGCTGTTTGCTCTTCTAGAAAAGGTTAAAACAAATAAAAAATTATGAATTATACAGAAGCCCTTCTACTTCTGAAATATATTTCAAAGACAACCTATACATTTCATGGTTTCTTTTTAATGGTTTTACAGAGATAACACATTGAACATATGCATCCATCAATCAAGATCAGATACTTCTTTCTTTTCTTTTTTTTAAATGCTGTCATATTCACCCTTAGATGTTTAAGAGTAAGGGTGCTGCAGTTGGTTTTACAGTACTAGCCTGTAAATTTTTGGTACAGCAGGACACACTTGATGAAAGTGATAGTTTATGTTGCTTCCTGTTGACAGAAAGCTGCAAAGGATTGTTGTAACTCTTTGATGTGGATTGGAAGTTTTTCAGTTGCCTTCCCTAAACTGAACACTTTTCGCTTTTAGGTGGGCAGTGTCCTCTGTCATGACACGACAAAACCAGATTCCTGCTGAGGATGGCTCTCGGGTCACATTAGCTCTGATTCCCTTATGGGATATGTGTAATCACACCAATGGGCTGGTAAGGAAATTGCATGTGTTTATAAAATGGGTTTATTGCGAAGCTTTTTGTGTCGACGCCCTAATGGGTTTTGGTATTATGAATAATATTATGAATCCTGATACTGAGAACTGTCTCCTGTACTTCTGCAATGTCCCAACTTTCTGCTTCTGTGTCCTTCTTTGCTTCATTTTTTGTCCATACACTCAAATTTACACCTGCCATACTCGGATTTCTTCCCTTCTGTAATTCTTTGCTTCCTGGTATTTCTCTGGCATCTTCCTTCGGCACAGATTGAACAAACATTCCTTTTCAACCTGATATACTCAGTCCTTTCTCACCCATATCCCCATATCTCCTCTCCCCTTCCCTCTTCTTCTTATCTGTGTTCACTTTCCTTTAATGCTTTCTACTGAGGTCAATCAAGGTAGGAAATCTGTGTTTCGATCTTCAAATGCTTCCTTTTCCCTCTCTTCAAAGTGGTGCTGGTGGTGGGTAAATTTTACCTACCTTGGGTTCTTTATAAGGAGAAAGGTGGAGTAATGTTTTAAAAAATAAGTAAGTAAATAAATAAATTAAATAAATAAATAAATAAATACTATGGCTCTGAGCACAGTCTATCATATTTCATCTTATTTGGGCCTTGCATTTAATCTTAATTAAAGTGCTTAGTGATTATAGGTGACACAGATATTAGGAACAACTTGGAATAATATAAATAAAAAGATGGTACACAGTAGCTGCACAATACTCTGATCCCATTTGCGTTGGCAGAGAGGTTCCACAACATATTCACAACTGCATATAAAAGGCTGTCAGTTTACTTAGTCAGTGGGTTTTGCTGCTGTGCAGCAAAGATTAAGATATTTCTGTTCCTTTACCAGAGAAATCTCATATGTAATGGAGGGCCGGGCATCTGTGATGTGTCCTGCTTTTCCAAGGGATATTTTTGGAGGTGTTAATTTCTTAGTTCACTTCACACTGCCCAGGTGTGTGTACTCCCTAACTGTGAGAAATCATAAACACACATATATATGAAGTGGACATCTGTCAAGTTTGGAACCTTCTTGTGTTGTCCATATATATATATATATGTATATGTGTATGTGTATGTGTATATGTATATGTATATGTATGTATATGTGTATGTGTATGTGTATATGTATATGTATATGTATGTATGTGTGTGTGTGTGTGTGTACAGATATATAATTTTACTTTGTTTGATTTAATTAAATTTAAATAAAATGTGAGCGCTTCCAAATCCACCACTGCTTGTGGCACTGCCGTGTTTTATGAGACAGAAATGTTTGTGGACTCTGTAGCCTGTGTGCCTCTGAGGAAAGTATATGTATGTATGATATATGGTATTCTGCTAAAACATCCTTCATAGTTAAAAGTTTAAAAATTACAGATGTTTAAAAACACGTGCCCACACCTTGGTTTCATGTTACAGTCTTGTGTATTCATCACTTAATTAATGTTAACACATAGTGAAATAAGCATGAATCTTTTAGAATATTTAAAAATTCCAAGACAAAAAAACCTGGAAGGTTACTAAATACAACTGATCCTGTAAGAAAGTCGCTACCCTTACTTTTTCTCAGAATCACAAAATAGAAATCATGTGACACAAGTCATACCTGAATAAATTCTCTGCAAAAGTGAGTGAAAAACCCACTTTGCACTAAGTTTTCATTTATTTTTGATGGTATGAACAATAGTTTCCTTTGCCCTAGTCTTTGTTTCACTTCGTTCTTGCCTTTCCTCTACCTTAAAATTGTATTAATTTTTATTGTAAATTGTCATTGTTGTAAGCCGCCTAGAGTGGTCCTATGTGATTCAGATAGGTGGGATATAAATAAAATAAAATA